TCTTTATTAACTTGTCACTACATGTAATTTGTTTGAATGTTGCAGGCTTTGTACTTGCTGTTACAGTGCAACTACATAGTAGAAGATGCCATAGGCAAGAGAAAATCTCAAACGAACCCACAAGCAGGTTTGTAACCAAGAGCTTTCTGTTTGCCTGTAGTTCAGCACCTAATTTTTTGATTTATGCAAATAAGCATTTAGTCTGTTGTAAAGAAAGTAATGAAATTTGTTCCAACCATGTAATGTGACTTGTTACTCTGAAATAATACTTCACTAACTTGTAAGAAACTGATATTGTTTCAGAAATGGCCTTGTGGTCTGAAGATGAGTGCAGGGACTTCGAAAGTGGTATGTTATTTTCAATTTATCCCAATCTTTTATAAATCAAATGGTACTGACCCAACAACCTAGTTTTCATCCACTCTTTTGTTATTTTCTTATTTCCATTTCTTTCAGGTTTGAGAGTTTATGGAAAGGACTTCAGACAGATCCAGAAGAATAAGGTAAGTCAATGAGAGCACTACCAACAAACGGGTATCACTTTTTAATATTCTGGTAATATTTCACTTAAAGCTACTGTAAATTTTTACATTTATAGAATGCAAAAGCCCTTTTCATGATTACCCTTTTCATTTTTATTGTTTCTGCGTAAAATTGCTTCGGATCTATGTTAGATTACTTTTTAAATGCAAATGAGAAATTTTAACCATGAAAAGGGCTTTTACCTTTTTATTGCAAAGTGGTACAGTGTATTGGCTTTGGTACAAATTTTCAGTCTGGAATACAGTATAATCCCAGTAGTTCTTGCATAATTTGGTTACATGAAAGCTTCAATTCTGTGTTACTTGTTGAATTAAGAATTAAATTAAAGTAAATTTTAAACATTGCAGGTTATGTCTCGCACTGTGGGAGAAATAGTCCAGTTCTACTATTTATGGAAGAAAACTGAACGGCATGATGCTTTCGCTTGCCAAACCCGTCTGACAAAGAAAAAATATGCCTTCCACCCAGGAATTACGTAAGTGTAACAATCTAAGCTCTGAGATGTTTACTGATTTGCTATCAGCTATTTTGAACTCTCGCTACTTTGAACTGTTTTTTGTTTCTCCTGTGAGTTCAAAATAGTGGGATTCAACTCTGATTAAATAATTAATATACAAACTAGTAAAAGGTCAGAAAAGTATTAATGTGGAGTTGTCTTTGTTTCAGGGATTACATGGACAGGTTTCTGGATGAAAATGAGAGTGCTGCCTCTAGCCGCGCCTCCAGTCCACACAACTTCACATCAAGGGTTCGTCCTGGAAATGGAATGATACCCATCACCACTGCCATTCAAAGCCAGAGTCAGCCAATAGCAATACAACCAATGCATACTGTTGCCGCCCCCACTGCAGCCCAGAGTACGGTCGTCACAATTAACGTTTCAAATTCTAACCCTGTATCAGTCTCCCTGACGAAAAGAGACCTCCATGACAGTGTTCCTAACAGACAGTTGCAACAACAGTCTTGTGTTCCAACATCTGTCATTGTGTCTGGTCCAGAATCTGGTGGAGAACCACCAACAAAAAAGTTAAAAATCCTTCCAAGTGGACGGCCAAAGTTGATCAACAGTATGCTCAGTAAACCGCCACCACTGAAACCTATTGCAACCACGGGATCTTCAGCATTTCATTCAAGTAGCCTAGGCAATGTGTCATTACCACCGTCGAGTGTATCAAGTTATAATGCAACCAACTCCCAAGAACGTTCTTATCTATCTGTTCACAACACACCTGTGACAGATTCTGTTCTCTTCACACACCAAAAGTAATGCCAGGTATTAGAAGTTTTTTAAAAAAATTCCTGGTGTTGTTCGCAAGTACGGGTCTACATGTACATGTACGAGTCAACTTCATGTAATCAAAGAGAAATTTGTAAGTAATGGCATTGTGGATAAAGTATAAAACCGTTTTGCGTATAAATTCACTGGACATTGATAGTTTTTGATGACGCAACCAAACTGAACTGGTTTATCAAAATAAGGCTTTTAATTTTAAAATGGAGTAGCAACTTACTACAAAGAAATGGGAGCAATAACAGAAATGGTCATTGTGTAAGGGCCAGTTTAAATGGTGCAACTTTGTTGCTTTCGACAACTTACTCCTCAATTTATTTTTGTAAATCAAACCTGCTAA